AGTTCAGATCAGCCCTCATTTGGTTTGGGATTCATATTTGGAAAGCTCATCTTTTTTTTTTTTTTTTTTTTGGTCTACAGCACTTCAACATGATATCACTTCTGTCTTGTTCCACAGTTGTATCAGTTTTAGCTGTTTTGCAGGAAGACTATCTGAGATGCTCTCCGAGGATCCCCCAAACTGCCTTTAGGTGTACTACAGAGTCTGTTTTAGTCAATTTATCTCAAACACACCCTCCAAATTCTCTTAGAACATGTCCAGAATCAGAAGAGAATAAACAAAAAGAATCCATTTATGTAGATACTATTCTTATTATAAACTTGTGATTTTGAACTGCCTTGGTTTTCAACGATCATATAGACTAGTCATAGAAAAAGCCCTTTTTGGAAAATCTGGCTAGTTTGGGGAGGGGCAGAAACATAATAAAATATGTTAAAAGTAGGTAAAATATAATAATCAGAGAAATATGAATAAAAACCGCAATGAGATACCACTTCAAACCCAGTAGGATTGTTATTTAGTTGTCAAACTGTGTCTGACTTTCTCGGGACCCCATGGATTGTAGCCTGTCAGAGGATAATACTGGAGTGGGTTGCCATTTCCTTCTCCAGGAGATCTTCCTGATCCAGGGATCAAACTTATGTCTCCTGCATTGGCAGGCAGATTTTTTACTACTGAGCCACCAGGGAAGCCCACCCAGTAGGATGGCTAGACTCAAAAAGACAGATGATAACAATGTTAGTGCTAAGATATGGTAAATCAGAAATCTCATCCACTGCTGGTGGTAATATAAGATGGTACAGTCAATTTGGAAGACTTGTAGTTCCTTAAAAATTAGAGTTGCCAAACAAACAGAATTACCACATTACCAGCAATTCCAGTCCTAGGTATATATCCTTCAGTTCAGTTCAGTTCAGTTGCTCAGTTGTGTCTGACTCTTTGTGACCCCATGAATCGCAGCACGCCAGGCCTCCCTGTCCATCACCAACTCCTGGAGTTTACTCAAACTCATGCCCATTGAGTCGGTGATGTCATCCAGCCATCTCATCCTCTGTCGTCCCCTTCTCCTCCTGCCCCCAAAGCATCAGGGTCTTTTCCAATGAGTCAACTCTTCGCATGAGGTGGCCTAAGTATTGGAGTTTCAGCTTCAGCATCAGTCCTTCCAATGAACACCCAGCACTGATCTCCTTCAGGATGGACTGGTTGGATCTCCTTGCAGTCCAAGGGACTCTCAAGAGTCTTCTCCAACACCATAGTTCAAAAGCATCAATTTTTCGGTGCTCAGCTTTCTTCACAGTCCAACTCTCACATCCATATATGACCACTGGAAAAACCATAGCCTTGACCAGACGGACCTTTGTTGGCAAAGTAATGTCTATGCTTTTTAATATGCTATCTAGGTTGGTCATAACTTTCCTTCCAAGGAGTAAGCGTCTTTTAATGTCATGGCTGCAGTCACCATCTGCAGTGATTTTCGAGCCCCCAAAAATAAAGTCTGACACTGTTTCCACTGCCTCCCCATCTATTTCCCATGAAGTGATGGGACTAGATGCCATCATCTTAGTTTTCTGAATGTTGAGCTTCAAGCCAACTTTTTCACTCTCCTCTTTCACTTTCATCAAGAGGCTTTTTAGTTCTTCTTCACTTTCTGCCATAAGGGTGGTGTCATCTGCATATCTGAGGTTATTGATCTTTCTCCCCGCAATCTTGATTCCAGCTTGTGCTTCTTCCAGTCCAGCATTTCTCATGGTGTACTCTGCATATAAGTTAAATAAGCCGGGTGACAATATACAGCCTTGACAGACTCCTTTTCCTATTTGGAACCAGTCTGTTGTTCCATGTCCAGTTCTAACTGTTGCTTCCTGACCTGCATACAGGTTTCTCAAGAGGCAGGTCAGGTGGTCTGGTATTCCCATCTCTTTCAGAGTTTTCCACAGTTTATTGTGATCCACACAGTCGAAGGCTTTGGCGTAGTCAATAAAGCAGAAATAGATGTTTTTCTGGAACGCTCTTGCTTTTTCAATGATCCAGCGGATATTGGTGATTTGATCTCTGGTTCCTCTGTCTTTTCTAAAACCAGCTTGAACATCTGGAAGTTCATGGTTCACACATTGCTGAAGCCTGGCTTGGAGAATTTTGAGCATTACTTTACTAGCATGTGAGATGAGTGCAATTGTGCGGTAGTTTGAGCATTCTTTGGGATTGCCTTTCTTAGGGATATATATCCATATGTCTTCACAAAAGACATATGTCCACACAAAAACTTGTACATAAATGCTCATTGCAGCAGTATTTATAGTAGCTAAAAAGCAAACAATCCAAATATCTATCAACTGATGGAATGGACAAATTGCGGTACATCTATACAACTGAATATTATTCAGCAACACAGAGGAATGATGAACCGGTTCATGTCATGACATAGATGTATCTTAGAAACATGATTATGCTAAGTGAAAGAAACCAGTCACAAAAGACCAGCATGTGGTGTGTTCTGTGATTCCATTTATATGAAATGTCCAAAATATACAATTATTAATACATAGAGACAGAAGGTAGTGGGTACATAGGGTTTGGGTGGGGATGGGAATAATAGGGGTATGAGGTAAAGGATATGAGGTGATGAAAATGTTCTAAAATTGATTGTGGTGATGGTTGCACAACTGAATATCCTAAAAACCACTGGATCATACAGTTTAATAGGTGAATATTATATGTGAATTACATCTCAAAATTGTTATCAGAAAAAATTAAAACATTAGACTAGCTTATAACCTAAGCATTTGGGTTCAAGTTACTGTTTTTATGATTCTTATGGACAGGGAGGCCTGGCGTGCTGTGATTCATGGGGTTGCAAAGAGTCGGACACGACTAAGTGACTGAACTGAACTGATGGTGTTTTTAAAATCTCTGACAAGATTATTTTTAGAGGCTGCCAAACCTGGTAGAGGCTTTGAATTAGACAGACCTGGATCAGCAGGTGGATTCAACACTTTCAAGCTTGTTTGTTTCTGAGCAAATTTTATGTCTCTCTAAGTCCCAGTTTCTTAAATTGTTGAGAATAATATCAATCTCTTATGGTTATTGTTAAAGGCTCACAATGTGTGCACTGTGTTAGTCACACTCAATATTAAAACAAATCATTGGCTTCTCATCAGTATAGCTGTCTAAAACAGGAATTAACAAATCCTGTCTATGAATAGGGCACAGTGAAGAATAACTGCAATAAAGAGAAGCTATTTCAACAAATATGTACCGCGCACAGTGGCACTCAGTAGTGGGTGCTGGGTGGGGAGGTTGTTAAAGGAACACGAATCATCTTCTTCCCCAGGAGTTCACTGTCTGGTGAGTGGCACTGAGAGTAGACGGTATCGCTTTAAGACATGACTTTGTACTAAATATACAGGAGAGGAGAGGCCAATGAAAGGAACTCACAGGAACGTATTAAAGAATGAGAAAATTTAGCCTGATAAAGGCATAAGGACTTCCCTGTTGAAGGTGACAAACAATCAGTGCAAGCAGATGCCTGACAAGCCTGTTTGTATGTCAACTTTCCAACTTATATCTCCCAAATTCCAGGCTTCTATATTAACTGCAAACTCAAAATCTTTGCCTGGATGGTTAATAGGCTTCTTAACCTCTCTTCCACCTGTGGTCCACGCACAGCAGCTCCATCCTCTCTGCTGCTCATGGCTAAAACCTTGGAGTTATTCTCAGCTACTTTCATTCCCACATCCACTTTGTGAGGGAATCCTCTTGGCCCTACTGTTAAAATATATGCCGAATCTGAGTCCATCTCAAACCTGTTACTGCTGCGGTCCTGCTCTGAGCCACCTGCTCTTGCCTGCTACTGCTTGGCCCGTCGGCATTCTCTGTACGGCACTCAGAATGATCATTTTCAAATAAAAGTAAAATTGTGTACTTCGTTATTCAAAACTCCTATAGTTGGTGTTTCACTCAGAATGAGTGCTAGAGTTCTTAGGAGGGCTGAGAAAGCCTTGGTGATTTGTCCCTCACATGCCCCCTTTCCATTCTCCTTACTACTCCCTTGACTTCATCTGGCCTACTGATTTTGTTTGGACAAGTTAATGATTTATTGCTTTATTTACTTTTTTTTTTGTCCTTTCCCTGTCCTATTGAAAAGGCAATAAATATAACTAAGCAGGTGTTATAGTTTCTTGTAGGACTAGCACCCATTGTCACTCTTGTTTGCTTAAGCACTCACACACCTGCAGGCCCTAGGAGGCAAAAATGGAGCAACAGGATTCAAGGAGGTCAAATTTGTATTTGGATAATTTTGCTTTCATCTCAGAGAATGGATTTAAGGGGAACTTCGCTGGAAGAAATGACTGAGAAACAAGTGAGGAAGTTTTCACAACAGTCCGAATGGCAGGCTGTGCTGACTCTGTTACAAGACAGAAAAGATTACAGATTCCAGAAACACTTTAAGGTAGACTTGGCAGGACCTAGTGCCTGAGTGAACGTGGTGTTTCTGGCTTTGAGTCACTTAGTGGGTGAAGGTACCACTTACTGAATATGGAATTGATGGAGGAAGACGGGATTCAAACACAAGAAATGGGGGGATATTGTGAATTTCCTTTTGGACATTTTGATTTGGACCTCCGAGGGGGAGAGATCTGGGAAGGAACTTTGAGCCATAACATTGCTAAAGGCGCTCATTTCCCCCTAATTATAAATACTGTTCTTTTTTGCAAATTTCACTGTAAAACTCCTCTGTCATAACTCTTCCGGGCACACACACTCTGGGCACCCTCAGTTTACTATCCCCTCTTCATGTCTCCTCTGGTAATTGTAAAATCTATCTTTAATAGCTAGCTATCTTGAGAACTGGGCTGCCCTAACCGATTGGAACAAAAGCATAGGGGAAGAGCTGGTTCCTAAAAGCACCGGAACACTTGACTTTTTACACAGGCCTTCATATAACGTGAATGCGCTCCAGAGCTCCTTTAGTACCAGGAGAGCTCGCCTTCCTCCTCTTTTCAGGACCGGGCCGTGTGGCCTCCACTTCCGGCACCCGCTCGAAGCGGGTCTTGTCTTACTGTGGACCGAGCGGGGAGAACCAGCCTGAGCCGCGGTCGCCATAGAAACGAGGCCCCGGCCGGTTTGAGTTTGGGGGGCGACGCGTCTCCAGGGCCCCGGGGTGGCGGGGTTGGGGCACACGTCGTCCCGTAAGCCGCTGGCGGCGGCGCCGGGCCCTGGCCCGGAGGAGGACGGACCGGGGCGGCCCGCGTCCCTTCGTCGGCCCCGGGAGCACCCCCCACCCTCCGAAAGGCGCGTGACGGGCCGCTGCTCGGCGCCCGCATTGTCTCAGCTCCATAGCAACTCGAGCCGCGCTAGGGCCACAGCAGCGAGGCCGCCCAGGGCCGCGCGCGCCGCTCCGCGTCGGCGTCCGTTCCCGGGGCCCGACGGTCCGCGCCCGAGGCGTCCTGACGGCCCCCGCGGGTGCCGGGGGCGCGGGGCGCAGGCGGCGGCATGCCCGAGAGGCGGCTCACCGTCGGTAGGTGGGGCGGCCGGGGTCGGGGCCGGGGCGCGCGGGGCGGCCCCACCGCGCACCGCCTCGGGGCTTCCTTCTGCCCCCCGGGCGACCCCTCTCCCTAACCTTGGTAGCACAGGCTCCAGAGCCCTCTCACCGCATTTTGTAAGGAATTTAACCCGCCATCCCCCCCTTTCCAGTGCCTCGTTGGCACCGTCTTATTTTATCTTGCTTAATTCTCCGTTTTGCAGCGGGAGTCATGGAGGCCTCCATCTATTAAGGTTGACTCAGGGGGTCGCAGTCGATTAGTGACCAAGCTGGATTCCAGAGGCCTTTTCTCCCCACTTCCACCTTGAATTCCAACTTCAAATTCAATCCATGTGCAGAGAGCGAACAGAGGGCCAAGAGTTTTACTGACCTTGCCCACGTATAAAGCAGACCTGAGTACTGTCTCAAATTATTTCATTTACTTTAAAAGGAAATCAGATTTGAGTGAGATAATGTAATATTTTATTTTGTTTCAGAGCCACCAACTATTACAGAAGAAGGATTTGTAAGTAGAATTTAGACGGCTACTTCCCCCCTCCTTGGCTTTTTAAAAATAGCAAATCATAGATCACTTTTTAGAAATGATGTTTCTTTTCCTTTCTTTTTGCCAAATGAGTTATAATTTAAGCTTTGGTTTCATAACAATGGTGCTGGGTTCAAGAATTTGTTTTTTAACAGGTACATTTTTAAGAAGGGGCCAACTGATTTTTCATGGTGGATGCTGTTCATTGTTAAAAGTTCTTTTATATAAATGGCCTCATTCAACTTTGCTAAGTTTGTTGATGACTCCATGAGAGTAGATTCATCTCCATGGTTTTATTGTGTTAGGGCTGAGCAGTTCCTGGTTACAGTAAACCTTAGTAGGTGGCATTGATTAATAACACAAGGTCTGTTTACAGTTATAATTCTTTTGAAAATGTACCAGATAGTCTCAGCTCAGACTTCTGGAGAGTTGAGCTGTAATAACTACTTGGCCAAGTACATTATATCTGTTGTCATTTAGGTGAGTGCTGCATCTAGAGTAGTGGGTTCTACTGCGATTCCCTCTGTTTATTCAAGGAATTTGTCCCAGGTAATGCGTTAAGATAGGAGACAGCAAAGCCTCATTCTTACAGAGGCTTGATTCCAAGAGTTCTAATGACTTCTCTACATTATTTGCTTATGTCCTACAGCACTTATTTCTCTTGTTGGTCAGTTATCTTATTTGCTTTTGGCTTTTTACTCAACAAACATGAGTGCCTCTGTATTCAAGTGTGGTGCTAGATGCTAAGGGTACGTCTCAAAAAGTTCACAGTCTAGTAGGGGCTGAGAGTAGAGGCTGTCTGCTACCTTGCGTCTGCTAGCACTTTGCACGTTCACTCTTCCCGATCTTTGGTCCACCACTGGGGGAGACCAAAACAGAGGCACACATAGCGTGCCAGAGACTCCAACAATCTTCCTGTTGCCTTGGCATCACGCTGTGTAGTAGCAAGTTTCTTTAAGCTGCTTCCTGAAGTGTTCTTCACACAGACAAGAGGAAAGCATTTTTCGAGATAACCTTTTCCTGTACGACTTCAGCACAGTCTCTCACAGGCACCCAAGGACATCACCCTTAACATTTGAATTGCCTGCTGACCTCCGCAAGTCTTTCCCCAGCTTATGGCAACTTAATGAGGCCATCTTGAAAATTCTATTAGCCATTCCTCTTTCTCTTGATTTTTTTTTTTTTTAATTCCACTGTCTCCCAGTTCTCCCATCTCTCATGTCCTCCCATCCTGGCTTCTCTTTTTTCTTACCCATCAAAGTATAGACCTTCTTCAGGATTCTCTGGGAGAACTCTTCTTCTATGACTTCCGCCACCCTTATTTCTCAGGACTCTCAAACCTACACGCCTCTAGTCTACACTCCTCTTATGATGTCAGAACTCTGTATCTACTGGGTTACTGGGCGCCTTCATCATCTAGATGTCCCTGCATCACTTCAGTAGTGTGAAGTGAACTCATTACCACCTATTCTGTCCTTTTTCCTCTTTTTCTTATTCCGGTTAATGGTGTCACTGGCTATTCAATCACCCAAGTCAGAACCTTTCTTCCCTTTTCTTCACCTCCCACCTGTAGTCATTTCCCAAGTTCCATTCATAGCCAGATCTTTTTCTCCATCCTCACAGCTACTGTCTTATTCAGGCCCTCACCTCTGAGCTCGGACTTTGGCGGTAGTCCTGGCTGATATCACCGCCTCCAGTGTTCACTCTGCCAACTGCAGTTTTTCTTTGCCTGAGGCACAAAGAGCAAACTCCTGTGCATCACCTGAATTTCCGGCTATGGTTTTCCTCTACCTTTAGGATTTTTCCTTCTCCCATCTCTTCTACCTTGGCTATCAAATTGCTATTAACTCTTTAAGAAATTTCCATGTTACTCAATTGCTCAAACCTTTTTTTTAACCTCCTGTTTATTGAATGCTGACTGCATGGTGGTATTTAACCTCAGAACAACCCTGTTAGGTAGTGACTAACACTCACCTCTCACAGATGAGGATGTTGGTGTTCACAGAGGCTCACTGACTTGGTTTGGGGCCACACGTCTAGTAACTGGCAGAGCCAGAATGTCAGAAGCCTCCCTTTAGCATGCAGAATCTTTTCTGCAACTTTTCAACCTTCTTTAACCTTATCTGCCAATACTGTCTATGTGATGAAGACAGTGTTCATACTGTCTTTGGTTTATAAAGTGCTTACACACTCCCTCTGCTCCAGCCAAACTGCGCTGCTCGCCTCCTTGGCTTTACTGTTGAGTTTTGTCTCGGATGCTCTCCCCCATCCATTTCACAATCTTGGACATTCTTCCAGGTCCAGCTCATCTCCGTGAAACCTTTCCAGCCTAAATTCATCCAGATTGCCTCTGAGCCTTGTGCAGCTTTCAGTCATGACAAGTTTGTGACCAGATCCTCAAATTCATCGCTCACCAAGCATTATCTATAGATGAAAGAATCCGTATGTCTTGCACATAATATTTCTTCCTCTTTCCCCAAAGTGTAAGAGTATTTTTTCTCATTAATATTTTTAGAAAGGAATTGTGTGGCTGAGATCTCTGGTTTCCCATTCCGCCACTTTCCACGGTACCTACAAGACATATTGCTCTCCAAAATAATTAACGTTTTCTGGCTTCCCTTGCCAGAACCAAGTTTTGTTTTTCATTTATTTTTATTAGTTGGAGGCTAATTACTTTACAACATTGTAGTGGTTTTTGCCATACATTGACATGAATCAGCCATGGATTTACATGTGTTCCCCATCCTGATCCCCCCTCCCACCTCCCTCCCTATCCCATCCCTCTGGGTCTTCCCAGTGCACCAGCCCTGAGTCTTCCCAGAACCAAGTTTTGTAACCAAGTTTTGATTAATGAAGTTTAAGCAGAAGCACTGTGTCCTACTTCTGGAAAGCTGATGTTTACAGAGATGGAATAACCAACCCCTGGGTCACACAGCTGGTAAAACCGGTCAGACCACATCTAGAACCTGGGTCATTCTGACTCTGACACTCAGATAAATGTAAAGGGAAAGAACATGCCCTTTGTAGTCTTGCTGGCTGGAAGGAGGGTGTGATCCTGGAGCTGAAGCAGTCATCTTGGATCATGAGGTAGAAGTGGCATCTTGAGGATGGCAGAGCCACAAGACCCAAGAGACTTGGGCTCCTGATAAGTTGGGATACCACTGTGCCAGTTCTGCACTGCTTATAATTACACGAGAAACATAAACCTCTGTGTTATTTAAATAGTATTATTTTGGTTTTCCATTATTGGCAGCAGTAAAATAAAGAGCATCCCTATTCACAGGACGGAGAAGGCAATGGCACCCCACTCCAGTACTCTTGCCTGGAAAATCCCATGGACGGAGGAGCCTGGTAGGCTGCAGTCCATGGGGTCGTGAAGAGTCAGACACGACTGAGCGACTTCACTTTCACTTTTCACTTTTATGCATTGGAGAAGGAAATGGCAACCCATTCCAGTGTTCTTGCCTGGAGAATCCCAGGGATGGGGTCACACAGAGTCGGACACGACTGAAGTGACTTAGCAGTTAGCAGTATTCACAGGAACTTTTTTCTTACTGTGTTTTCTCAGTCAATGATGCTGTTAAGTATGTCTGTAAAATATTTTAACCTTTATATGAGGCCTCTGTCTTCAGTGGAGAGAATACCATTTAGAACAATTTGTTTCTTGTCAGACAAGTCACTTTGCATATATTTTAACTTTCTTTGTAAATTTTGCAGTTTCCTAACAAAGTTGTGACCACCTATAGGACTCATATTGTGATTCAGTACACCTGCATATTCCATATGGTGAATAAAATTAAGAGACACTGTAGTTTCACGTAATATGTTTTATATTTTAGTTGTTAAAAGTAGTATTGATTTACAGCTAATCTTTAGGCTGTTCAGATTCATTTTCTGTTTTTTTTATAGAGTGAATGAATTTATTATAAACACAGAGCATTTCCCAAGTCCGAGGATATTCTCATTATTCTCATGTAACATGCAAAAAAGACGCATATGCTCCAGTTCTTGTGAGCACGAGTGTCTAATTATATGAACATTAATGACTACATGGTATTTACCTTTTCAGATTGTGAATATAGCTGATTGCACATCAGTGGGGTTGGGGGAACTGGGAGAGCACACCTGGCTGGCATGCTGGCTGGAGGTCTGCGGAGGTGGTGGAGGACAGGAACAGGTGGATGGAGGGTGCCAAGTGAGGTGCCAGAAATGTCTCCACCAAGTCATTTGGAAACCCAGATGGGCCTGGAGGTCCTTTG